CCCCACTTTCATTCCACGTGAATCCCTGCTTAAGCCGCGCACTACAACTCCTATACATAATCACGTTAACGTAAGAACCCAAATCATGGCAGAGGCCTGCCCAGGGCTGCCCATGCTAGGCTGGAAGACTCTGGAGGTACCTCCCAGATGTGAAGGCTTCATGATGCTGCGCATCTTCATGTGCTAGCACTGCCTCCTCCGTGCAAAGGCGGCTGCTCCACCATGCCAGGGATGTCCTGTCAGTGTCAACTCCAGCAAGTACACATTGCAAAATGATTCGTAAATTCCGTTCTCCTGTGCGGCCAGCTTTTGACTCCGCGCGTGAAGTCGCTCGCGCTGCTCGCGAGCCCTTTCTGTCCTTCAGCGCCGAGACTACCCACAACTTGACATTTTTTGATCTTGCAAGAAGGGCTAAGCATTCGACATCCGCTCACATTGCTCTCTGCATGCTGCAGATTCAGCGCGTAGCAGCTGCAGATCCGACTTTGCGTCGGCGCTGACGTCGCGTCTCCTGATTCACACGGCCACGTTTACGGTGTTTTTTAATGATGGGGGGTCCCATTTGCATCTCTGTAGTATAACCACCAGACCCCCCGCTTGTGGAAACCCCCATATTATATGCATGAGCAAAATAGCCGACTACAGCATTGCAAATTCAAGGCGGGCAAATGGTTTGGGAGAGCGATAGAACGTTGGTTTGGATGGAAGTAGCAGATGTTCACAGGAGTCCTAGCTCCTTTGTCATGGGGCATCGTGTTCGAGAGACCGGGAGCTATTAGGCTAGACACTCCGTGTACCCATTTGATGAAATAAGAGCTGCGCTTCATAGTCATAGCTCACCCACAAGGTTCTCTCCCGTCTTGCGTGCTTCAAAGGCGCCCCATTAAAGAAGTGGACAAGCAATACAGTGAACACCCGTTTAAGGTTCTAGTACAATGCAGCTTCACTTGGAAGTGGCCAATTCTAACCCGAAAGGCTCAACTGATCTCAATTGAGTCAAGCTGCTCGCTGGCATGTGCTTGCGGTGGCTCACTCCCAGCTGCCCCTGCCTGGATTACATGGAGATGTAATTGATTAGCTCCTTAACTCCTTGACCTGTGGTCCGACATGCAACTCAGCTGCTGATTTTCTGCACTCCCCTGGTGGAGCGCGGAAGACCTGCGTCCTTAGAGAGCCCAGGCGCGCAAACACGCCAACCTGATTGAAACTGAACCTGGAACTACATCGGCTGCACGTGGGCCCATTTTGGTACCCCTAAATTTTAGAGGCCGTGGAATAATGCAGAACCAAAAAGGGGCTATCATTTTGAGAATAACCTATGTGAATTCATGTGGCTAGCATATGCTAGCATTACTACGGAGACCCATTGGGCAATGGCTGCCAAACTAAGAAAGTAGCCACCACAATGATCCCAACAATTGCGCCAAGCCACCGGGCTGGTGGACTGAAACCTGCACATTCCACGTCAAGACTTCCAGAAACGCTTCTGAATTCATGTCTTATGGGCTCTTCTTCTTCTTCGGGTGATAGAGGACCCTACGGCCCTCTCGGCGCACCGCGCCGCTCTTATGGGCTCTCTCTCTCTCTTGCTTTTCTACCGGCGCTAGAGAACCCTGCGACCCTCCAGGAGCATTGCCCCGTGCCGAGCGGTCCAAGTCTGGTCGGGACTCTGGAGGTGAAGTACTGCGTGTATTGGTGCAGCACATGTACATGGTCAGACCTCCTAACCCGATACGGAATCTTTGTGCGGCACTCATACAGGCTTCCTTCCGGCTCTACAGAGCTGTGACACTTGCTGAGGCACCTCCAAGACCCCTCTCTCTCTCTCTGTCTTAATTAGGGGTAACTACTAATTACATACTTGTTGTAGGAAATTGGGGCTACAGCACATTCCACGTCAAGCAAGGCTTCTGCATGTTTGTGGGTCGGTGGCTTTGAAGTGGATCAGGCAGAAAGACCCTGTAGCCTTGCAAATGCCCAAGTCACTAATAAACCAATCTTCACCAGCTTGGCACTCCAAAGTGTGGAGTGTGATTCTGAAATCAGTTTCTCTGACTGCGTAATCGCAGGGCTAGCAACTGTCTGACCCATGGTCTGTCTGGACCGCTGCTTCTCGTCGCAGAGTAGCCGACACGAACCTGAAGCTGAGCTTACGCACATGGAGGCACAGTTAGTTCCGGCTGCCATCTGCAGCCCAGAAGCGTTTCTAGCTCAGCCCGCGCTTGTGCCTCAAGGGCAGATGCAGCTTGCACGGCTACCGTGCTGCACAGTGTGTCGGGGCTGCTTCAGCGCATGGAGGGAAAGCACAAACGCTATGAGCGGTCCGTCCTCGCGCAGCGCCAGGCGCCGGTTGTCGCGCGAGGTCCGAGACAGCTCAAGCAGCAGTTGGCCACGCTCTTCAGTAAGCCGCCTATCAGTTCCACATGGAGCGAGAGCTGAGGCTCCAGCTGAAACTGACAGAAATTCATGTGGCCTGTTTTCCTCTTCAAGCCGCAGCTGCATCTCAGCTAAGCGCAACGGCCTCTCCAGCCCAGGTTCCACACCTTGTGCAGGAACGTAGTATATCTGTCAGCACGAAGTGACTTCAGTACATGATAAACAGAGCACTCCATTTTGGGAACCCTAAATATTAGGGGCTATAATTATTACAATAGGGCAAACCCAAGAAAGGAGTTGCCGGCCTTGCAGCTTCGCAGATAGAAGCTTGTTTTGGGACTGGAGTCTCTCCACCTGGATGCGGTGGCCCACCCAAGCTACGAGCTGTGGTGTAGTACTGCAACATATGACCAACTGTTCTAGAAAGTACTGTGAGAAGCAAACATTGTTAATGGATCTCACATGAAGGAACCTGGCTCTCCGGCCATTGACGAATCTCTGGGCTGTCCGGCATGGTCTTGGGTTCCATACTTCAATCCGGATTCCACCATAATCAACACCAAGAATGATGTGAGTGGGATCTCGGCGCGCCAACGCCATGAAATACAATAACCGCTGTAACCTCCAGACTACCAATGGCTGTGACGAAATTCCTTTTCAAAGTAATGGCCGCTTTGGGATATACTTCATATCAAGGGCCGAATGCAGAAAATGTATCAAGATTCTGGCTTCCTCCTAGAGAAAACCATACCCCCTGAACTTCCTGAACCTTAAACCCTGAATCCTGGGCGCTAAATCCGAAACCCCAAATTCTTAACCATGTGAAGCCTCTTGCTGGAGCTCGTCCTCACGCTCCTTTGCACGCAACTCGCTGCGCCGCCTGCTGCACTTGAGAGCTTTTCAAAAGAGGGGAGTGCCTCTAATCTAGGGACTTTAGGACCTATATCCCTAGGATGTCCCCTTATTAATCCCTATAAGCTCCCTATTAGGGGTCCCTCGAAAAGTCCTTAGATCTAAGAAGGATTTGGGCTAAGGTTTTGACACCCTTAAATATTCTAGGGGAGTACCCGTGTACTGTGAAGGGATTCGGTGAGTCCCTGCTCGGAACAAGAAATATGGAAGCATAAAAGATTTGCTTTCACTTTGTTCTTTACCTGCTATGTTCGAAAATGACGAAAACATGCCCAAACTCACTCCCTACAGCACCTGCCGAAGTTCTGGTCCATTCTCAGGCGTCCCGTAATGAGGATCCTCATCCTGACCTTTCTGGGCCTAGGACTCCTCCGGCTAGGCTTCTGCTTCCGCATGAAGTTGAAGTGGTTGTTGCTGTTGTCTTGGCTGTGGTTACCGCTCTTGACTATCACAGTTGCCCTCATCTTCTCTCCACATTTTTTGGTACGATTCGTCTTATGTGTTCTGCTGGCACATCCTCGTGCCTGCTGAGCTCGAGCTTCGTGATGATTTCCCTCAGGGAAGCCACATCCGATTCCTGCAAAGAACTCCGAACAAGCGCTGGCAATTCCACCTCTGGCTGCCTTCTCATGGCCGCAAGACCTTCTTATGCTCTGCTTTTCTACCGTTCGCAGAACAGCATACACAAGCAATTCTCTGCCACGAGACTTGTGCTCGGGACATTGGCTATGACACCGGCCATAGGAGAGAAGCTCAAGCGGGGGGAGCAACCACCAGCTCACTCTCTACTCCAAACCTCAGCTCCGAGTGTTGGACCATGTGTGTGTTCGTCAAGCCCTATGACGAATTGCTGCCAAACGCAAAGTTCACGGAGCTTCAACAAAGCAACTGCAGCCATGGCGCTTCTGCATCAGAGACCTCTGCATCCACGGGTGGGCTGCCAAACTGCTGGAGCTAAGATGAGCTAAGGGATTTGAAAACTCATATCCTGGTATTTAAGTATTAATAGGCCTCAACTAGGTGAAGGGCACTGAGAAAACGACGACGCTCCTGCAATACAATGAGGCACTAGCCTGAAGATCGCCTGTTCAGGCTTTCAGGTTTCCGCCGTTTCGGCCTTCAAGCAATTCGCCCTGGAAATTTTACACTCCTCAAGGGTGGCTGCGTACTGGCCTTGGGGACCCTCCAACCCTACGTCCACACAAAAGTCTGCTTAGAGGATATTCATAGGCCCTGTCCTGTGATCTATGAGAGCTCGCCACCAAGGCGCAAGACCATGCCGGACTGCTTAGCCTCCTCGATGAACTTGGACAACTCTTCAAACCCTTCAGGGGTCAAACCAATCAGCAATTGCTATGCTGTAGGAAATTAATGAAAGTAGCTGTAACTTCAGCTATGGTAAAGCGATCGCCCTCTTGAACCCTTCGCTCCATTACTTTGCCAAGCTTGCTACTTCAAACCCTTCCCTGCCCTGCCCTGCACAAGCTGCAGCCTTTGCTCCGGCCCTTCTTTGTGCAGGCAGCCTCCGGAATTGAAAAGCAGCCCAAACATTCTGCGGAGTGATCTGGTCTGGCCGAGCGACACTTGGTGAAGCACAGCCAATGTGAGTGTGTATTTTAGGCCCTCTCAGCAGGAGGTCATGATTTGGGCACACATCTAGTGTCTCTTCATCCAAATCAACAACACGCCCCAAATCAAAACGCGGGAGATTTTCAGTCCCCTGCAACTTGATGTTCACTTCGGTGATTACTCAAGGAAGCCTGCTCCACGGCCATGAACTTCCCAGGAAGCATGCGAGTGCCAGGAAGCTTTTGGGCGTCCTTCACAGGAGCCAGCTGAGGCGTCTTGAAGTCTTGAAGTGAGGAGGGCATGGAGGCCTGCAGTGGCCCCTAATGATACTGATAACCGCCTCCCTTATACTTGGATGCGCCCTGGCGGGCTCCCCCCTTGCTATAGTGTGGTTGGGCTTCAGGACTGATGTTCTCGCAAGAATTGTCAAGGAGATCCGATGGAATTTTAGAAAGACTTATGCAAGAAAATGCGGCGGTAGGACGGGTAGGAATTATATGAGTTGTATCGGAACGTAAACGAACTAAACCCCTCACCCTGACCCTGTCTGCGCAGTGGGGGGTATGATTGGGAGGGGTAAGCGGCTGCAGAACGCGCAGCGTACAACCAAAAATATGACCCCTAACTCGCAGGGCGAGTTCTCACGAGGGGTCCCATTTTACCCCTGACATACACTCCCTTCCATTCGCAAGCTCGCCACTCAGGGCACCTTGGTCAGCTTGGATCGCAACCCAGCCAAAGCGTCCAGCTTCTCGCTCTTGAACATGTCCTCAGATGTCTCGTGTCACTTGGAGATTCCTCCCTGCAGAGGTGGCCTTGATAAGCCTAGGCCTAGGGGTACATGGGATCATAAGTGGATGATTGGGGATATGTAGGGGAACTTTCTGATAGACATCCACTGGCAGCGCTGGCATGATATGCTTGAAGTCCGCAGATCTCTTGGTTTACGGTCCTCTTCTATCGGGTACGTAGTTGGGAGTGTAGGGATGGGTTCTTGCAGCTTCTTGATCATCCCGAAAATACTCCACTCACGCCTCTTACTTGACGGAAGCTTGTCGGTGAGAATTCCTGAGGACGTACAAGGATATGTAAGGACATCCCGGCAGATGGAAACATGACGAGGAATGTGTTCCACGGACGACATCTTCACCAGAAAAGATGAGTTTACCCAGGCCCAGAACAGAGCGCCTCTTTCAAGGAAGTGGTTTGTTCAGCCTACGTAAGCTGTCGTACGCCTTCGGCAACTCCAGGGCCCAATCAAATCTAGAATCTAGCATGACAAACCTCTCCAGATAACTCAAAAGACACGATCTTATACTTATGTTTGAAATGCGAAGCCCCTAGAGCGCCCTTACAGAAGCAACTGCTTCACCCTAGTTGCTACACCCCCCCTACATAATCCCAGCTTCCTTCATGTTGCATTTGATGTTCCGTCTTGCAGCGCAAGCATGTTGGGCCTTATATAACCCTTTACTATATCTCCGCTGCATGTCCTTTACAACCCCTTTTAAACCCTAAATCCTAAACCCTAAATCCTGAACGCTGAACCCTAAACCCTAAATCCCAAACCCTAAATCCCAAACCCCAACTGAATCTTGTAAATCCCTTTACACCCTAAATCCGAAGCCAGCCCAAGGCGCATAAGTTGCTTCATGACCATCCGCCTTGACAAGACTCCTTGTCATAGGGGGTAGAGTCGCGTGAAGCAGGATGTAAAATATTTAGAGTTTAGGTTTTTTTGGTGGTTAGGGATTTAGGGGGGTCAGGATTTAGGGTTTCGGATTCAGGGTTTAGAGTTATATGGATGGCCAGGCTCATTGGGGTAGGGTCCCTTGGAAGGGTTTACGGCTTCCCAAAATTTAGGGTTGCCCTTACAGGGGGTGATAGGTGTTATAGAGAGGTATATAGGGATATTTAAGGTTTAGGGTTGAAAAGGGTGTTTCCGTAAATAACACCCTCAATGGGGATATAATGGGATAACGGAAAAAGCAAATGGAAACATATGGAAACTATTCTTAAGAGTTTAGGGTGACCTAAAATATGAGATTTTTTGGTGGGGTCCTCATACTAATGCTTATAGATGTTTATAGGATTTTGGGGTTTATCTTGGGGCCCCCCTCTCAGATCTGACACACAGGGATGTATTGGAATTTCAAACTAGGTGGCCAAAGCAAGGCAAGGCACAATCCTTGAAGCGTGCCGGGTCTCAAATATAGTTTAGGGGTTTAGGGGTTTAGGGTTTAAGGTTTAGGGGCTTACGCCATAATATTACCCCGTTGTTGAAGAATCAAGTGGAAAATGAAATCGAAACTGGGCTTCTACCGGTGCTGGTTGAGCCGAGTGGGACAACATTCTGTTTATAACGTATTGTACCCCAAGGGAGGACATTCATGCTCTCGATTAGGGACAAGACTTTCGTCGTTACAAACTACTCAGTCCACATCTCTCATGTACCATCCCACAGACAAACAAGTAGTCCGTGCAGTGCCCTTTTTGGGCTTCCGTGTTAGTCTGGAGAAGCGCTTGCTAATTACAAGATGCGAGCCCAAACCCTGCACCTCAAGCCCACCTTGGCGCTTGCACCCGAGACTCGCGTTCTTGAGGTGTCTCTCCAGCCAGAGGACGTAAGCAGCTCCAGAGCAGCCAGCAACGCGAATGCCCGCCACGTCGACCTCCTGGGCTAGAAATACATCTCCAAGGTCACATCATGTCACATCTTTGGCATACCCGATACAAATCTGAAAATCCACGCTATGCATTATCGTGATGGGGATAATGCTGGTGGCTTCCGCTCAGCTTCTGCTCCGGCAGCAAGTTTGATGTCCAACCCCTACATCCGTTCACACCACAACACGCAACGATGTTGAGATCGAGCAGCAGAGCATTGAGTAAACAAGGAGTCCGAAGCCACTGCGTAGGTAGCTTCGATCTGGCAGTAGGGCGCCGTGAAATCGACATGCCTTTCGAGTTCAAGTCCAGTCCGGGGGGTTAAGCTTCAAGCATGTTGCAGCATGCATCTGGAGGCCCCGAAACTTCAAAGTCACGTAAAAGCTCCCACAGCCGCAGAAAGCTTTACGGTTTCTGGGAATTGCTCGAGCTAAGGTCCTCTCTGCCTTGGGAATACTTTTCTTACCCGGTGATGTGTTGTTCTTGTGGAAGGCCATTTTATGAGAGCATCAAGAAGCGCTGAACCTTCAACTTCTGGGATGAAACAACCTCTGAATTCAGCCTATGTACTGCCATTGATAACGTCAAGGCCCCAGAGCACTATTTTGGGAGACCCTGTTAGCTGAAACAAAAAGTCCAGGATGCGCAGCTCGAGCGGGATCTGCTCCGATCATTGCAACATCCCACTTATCGAACGCTGCATCATCCGCAAGCTTTGCTGGAGAGTCATATGGGACAAACTCCACGGGCACACCTCAGCGCACAACTGCCCTAACACATCCATCCATCTATCTATCCATCCATCCATCCACGCATGCATGCAGAAGATGTCAGGGCAAGCAAGAGGGAAGGGCGTGCAGCGTGACGAGGGTGGCTTCCACGCGATTGACTGTTTTGGCTCCCTGAGGATCCCCTAATAGATGAACTCATGAACCAGTAGTCCCGTCCTTGTGGTTAGTCCCTATGCTCCCTGCACGACCCACATAAATACAGATTGGCTCCATCCCCGTCTACAGGCTCAGGCCCAGAAACCGATTCGTTCGGCGAAGGCGGCTGCCATGCTCGGCGCCAACCCAAGCGGCTCGCCGGTAGGAGTCCTAGGAGAAATGGTAGTTTCCCCAAATAAGGGGAATCCAATGTAGACCCCACAATACTGTAATCCCAGGACCCCAAGAGGGTGCCCCTAATTTTGGGAAACCCCAAATGTAGGGCTTCAACACTGGAGGGCTTCAGTAACAACCCCACAGATCCAAGCTCTGACGAAGGGGTTAAGGGTTAAGAGCTTTTGTGGCCAATTCATGGGATTCGGAGTCCTTCACCAATTGTATAAAGTACAATGCCGTAAGGCTTCTCTAGGGATTCTGCAGGAACTCTACCGTTGCTTGAATCGAGGAATGCTAAAATGCTTTACGCAAGGGATTGCAAAGGCAGTATCTCAGCATTGTGATTTTTCTGGGGACTTCCGATAATCAGGATTCCATAGCTTGACTGCCGGAAAAAGAGTGGCAAGGTGGGATAGGCACAGACTTTGACCGAGTGCAGCTGCCAAAGCTTTCTTTCAAAGCATCACCTCGTACATTTGCATACCGCGGCCTTGCACCAGCGTACAGTAATCCGCTCACCGGTACAAAGATCATCCTAATTGTGGAATTCTCCTGCAAAAATACCGATACTACACTGAGATCATAGGGGCAGTCTATAAGGGGAGGGGACTAGAACAGAAGGCATCCAGCAGTTTTGACAAGCGTCTTGCCCGTTACCAGCAGTTGGTTGCGCATGTTGATTCCCACCCTGCAGGCAGAACCGAATCAGACAATCACTGCATGCCGCGCAGTTCATAAGGGCAAGACCATGGGCACCCCTAGTATCGGCCCTCACCCTAGAGTCGAAGCCCGCAAACAGGCTAGGGACCCATGGTAGAGACCGATACTTCCAACCTTAGATGATGGAATGGGAGATTTTGTGAAACTATCCTGATTCTGGTCCTCATGATGAGCCTAAATAAGTTCAGCTGGATTCGTCGGGCGCCCGCATGACGTTGACCAAAAGCATGATAACGTTCATCTTGGAGACATTCGATCCAATTATCAGAACCTCCAATCCCCGAGAGCATCCATGCCCAAAGCGGGATAACGTGCGTGTTCCAAGAGCATCCGATTACTGGAGCATCCATGCCCAAGACATTTTGACATTCGTGCTTCAAGAGCATACAGTTACCAAAGCATCCATCCCTACACGTCATAAGCTTTGTCTTCCAAGGGGCATCCGATTATACCGATTAGCCCCAATTAATTCGAGGATACCATTTTGCGGAACATCGCATAGGCGCAATCAAGCAGAAGCTATGCCACATCCAGCTCAAGGGCCATTCCGGACCTGTACGGGCCACCCTAGAATCCCTGTTTGCTGCGCACCATTTGCGGCAACAGGCGCCAGACGAACTTTTTCAGGAAATTACTTCCCTAAATCATTTTGAGGTCTATTAGAGGTCGCGTATACGATATCTTTACAAGGAAACTAGAACCATAGTCTTTGTCATTACGGCGACAAACCCCTCCTGTGATAAGCTCGGGTTCCAGACTATTTGCCGTTTCTTTTTCATCTGCTCCTCCATTCCTGGGGTAATATCTGCCCAAAATCATATATGATCCCTATACAACCCCTAAACCATACGTACTGCATAAGTTCTTGCATTTTTCCACTCCCCATAATACCCTGATAGGAGTTAGGCCCTGCACTATGCTCCCTGCCCTATGCTAGTTGGCGGAAGATAATGGCCTCAGCTGCCCTGCTGGCGCCATCTCAAGTGCAATGGCCTCATGGGCTGCAAACTCCAGAATCATGGGGCGGGGGTTCTCAAAATATGCTATCGTTTAGGGACCCTGAAAATACATGGGGAACATATTATACGAACTATGGGAGTCCCTACAAGGAATTGTATATAGGGATTATTTTGAGCAAATACCCACGCAAATGTCTTAACAGGTCAGGTTCTGCATGTCTAACATCTTTACTTTGCCAAGCTTCCCGAAGCGTATTGGCCGCCATCAGACCTGCAACAGATCAAGGAGGATCAAACTCACATGCTAAACTTTGCCTGCGGCAGAACCAGAAGGGTGCTTGTTATGCCCTGACCCTATAGTCCTTATTATAGGGACCCCCATAATGGTACCCCTAATTTTGTGAAACCCCGATATAACACAGATCCTTAAGGTCACTTAAGCATTTTTGAGAGACCTTCACAGCAGCTTCTGGGCTGAGGCAAGCGCTCAAGCCTCAGCGGCGTCTGACGAGAACTTGAGCCATTGAGCTGCACTATAGGGATAAGGGAAAAGAAAATGGAAACTACTATAAGAGTTATATAGGGGTTATATAGGGGATCTATTGGGGTTATATGGGGATAATGGGTTATATAGGGTTTACGGGATATAGGGTTAGGGGGTTAGGGGTTTCCCAAAACAAGGGCACCGGCAATGTCATGGAAGTTTCTGAAATAGGGGTCCCATGAGATTACCATGCCAGCAGAATCGGCCAAGCAACATAATATACATCTTTCTGGTACCTTGCATTCAACACCTGTATCAAAAAGAATCACCTTGGTTTACGAAGCATCGAAGATGCAGTAAGCAAGTCAATTGGGCAAGGAGTCCTACGTTACTATCCCAATATAACCCCAACATATCCCATATATATAACCCTTATAGTAGTTTCCATTTGCTTTTCCATTATCCCAATATAACCCCAACATATCCCATATATATATATATATATAACCCTTATAGTAGTTTCCATTTTCTTTTCCATTATCCCAATGTAAGCCCAATATATACCTTACATAACCCCTATATAACCCTTATAGTAGCTTCCATTTTCTTTTCCATTATCCCCTATATAACCCTTATAGTAGCTTCCATTTTCTTTCCATTTATCCCAATGTAAGCCCAATATGTACCTTACATAACCCCTATATAACCCTTATAGTAGCTTCCATTTTCTTTTCCATTATCCCAATGTCAGCCCAATATGTACCTCATAAACCCTAAACCCTAAATATGAAAAAGTTCAGGTGCCCTGCTCGGGAAAGACTTGGTTCTGATTCAGCGCTCTCCCGGTAAAGCAGCAGCTCAACTCATGCACTGAAATACTATAGGGTTGAGGGTTTAGGGTTTAGGGTTCAGGGTTTAGGTTGGGTCATTCCCCCTTACAGTAACTGTTACCACAATGGGTTCTAGGAGTTATAAGAACCCCTTTAAGGACAGTTTCTGGGCGGGGAATGACCCAAGGTTTAGGGTATAATCCTCAGAATGTAGACCCCACCCCCCCCCCTCCCCCCCAAAAGAAACACTTCTTTTTGGAACCCCCAAATCTCAGGTCCTGCTCCACCTCGCATCCATGGCCAGTACCAGGTGCTATGACCATGGCTTGGACGACTGGCTGTCTAAGCTGTAGATCAGTAAGGGGGAAATTAGGGGTACCTTGTGAAGGGGGTCCCGATAATAAGGATGTTAATATTGAGAAGTTGTCTAAGCTGTAGTAAGTCCTTAAAGGGGGTTATAGATATACCCCCAATAATAAAGAATCAAATGGAAAAGAAAATGTGGAAATTGCAGGGGTCCTATAACTGGCCCTATAATAAGAATTATAATATTTAGGGGTCTATAATGGGGTCCCTATTTTGGGAAACTAATTATCATAATTCATCGCAGCTGATGGACGTCTTTGGCAGCTGTAGGTCACTGTCGTCACCTGTGAGTCTTCAACTTCCTCCACGCATGACTCGTGATTCCATGGAGAAGCAACAAGACTGTCCCTCTGAAAGTACTACGTTTGGTCTGCGAACATGCAGAGTCACCTATCCTGTATGGGATGCTTTCAGAAAGTCTCCATCAAACATACTCTGGCGAACCCCCTTTTCAGCAAAGGATGGCAGTCACTTTGCTTGGCCAGCACGGGAGATAGGTCGATGTATGAACTTCTGCACACATTTCGCAGTGGGCAGTTGGTATTCCTTACAATGGCTCACCCCTGATAGACCTGTCAGTACCTATCAGGATTCATTTTGTAAGGACCCTCAACAAGGGCCACCCTAAACCCTAAACCCCCTAGTGTATCTTGGCTCCTCAGTCTGACCAAGTTGCAGAGACAGAAGGCATCTCTGCCCGGCGAATAACTTTGTACACTGGCAGTGAAGCAATTGGGTATCTCCCGAAATCTGGGTCCCCCCCAGATGATCCCTCCATTTTAGTTCATTCAGCATTCCTATTCGAGCCCTGGAGAGGATCCATAACTTGAAGAGGCACCCGATTGTCGTGGTCCTGGGGCTTTCAGGCGGAATGATATGAGGCCTGGATAGATGATAAACAAGCACAAGACGTGAGAATATGTCAAGCAAATCAGCAAACGACATCAGCAAGAGGTGGATTAACACGGCCAGATGCGTTTTCGCATAGAAGGACCGCATGCAGCATCTGTACAGCGCAGCCGCGGTGCCATCTGAAATATGTATGCGTTGGCGGCAAAGGTCGATCACAGCACCTGCTGGGCTACCACGTGCGAAGCTATCATGTACAGGAAATATTTCAGCTTTGGTAAATTTTCCCTTAGACTTTACATTTGGGCTCAACCAGGTGCCACTATTCGTTGGCCCAGGTGGAAGTAGACATCAAGATGATGCCTTCTTGAAAGTCCTGCGCACCGGCTTGCATCATCAGAAGGGGGACTTGCAGCAACTCGGATTTGCCTCAAGAAGGCTCACGCATCGCTATCATATGAGCTTTGCTCTCACTTAAAAGAATCGTGACACGGAGCTTCCCTGTCAAGGACAGGCAAAGTGTGAATGCAAAGCATGTGACGCAAGAGGAATTGACATGCACTACTATCTTTTGGTATTAATATGTAGAAAATGCGTAATGCTCTGCTTTCACTTTCAGACTGACTTCTATTGCCTCAGGCCTTAGCCTGCATGCTGCTAGCCAAAACCAGCTTCGCAGCATGTTTGCTGTCTCCAGCCAAAGCCTTGAAAAATGGAAGCTGTCTCCAGCCATGGAAAACTCCGAAGCAAACCCTCGTTGTAGCTGCCGGCTCCGCTCAGACAACAACTAAGTGGTAGTTTCCATAAAGGAGGGCATCCCAATATGGACATCAAATACGATAATCCTTATTATTCCTGATTCTGGGGAAACCCCCAAGTATTGCCACGCACTGCTTTCCAGCGGCTGGATTCAACGTTCGATACGGCCTATGCGACTGGAGCATGCGCCCGTTGTTTCAGGGCATGGCGTCCACCCAGATAAGCCCGCTAGCCCAAGGCAAAACTCCCTGCCACCCAAGCCCACAAGCTAACCTGATGAAACAAGCTAAAATGAGTGTACCCCCAATGCAATACAGCTTCCAGGCCAACGAAGACCAAGTACTTGACGAAAGCGCATCCCTGGCAAAGAAGTGCTGGCACACACTGTCAAGAGTAGTCTGGGCTATACTTTCTGGGGTACTATCTGGGGGTTTCAAAAGAATCAGGGGTCCCCTTTTGGCTTTTGTGTGTTTTGTCATAATGAGAATTATAGCATTTGGGGGTCTATATTGGGGTAGCACTATTTTGGGAAACTATCATTTACGACGGGCTGTAGGGCTCTACTAAACCCTAAACCCGGTCACTCTGGGAATAGCCTGACTGCTGGACCCTTCACTGTACACAAGGCGCAACACTCAGCAAACTTTGGCCCTCATCGGCCTGGACTGCAATCCTAGACCCTTTGGGGTGTAGGGCTGTGGGGTTTAGGGTTTAGAGATCTATAAGTTACCCCAATAATCGAGAATCCAGCGGAAAGAATATACAAGGAATTCTAAGATCTTAGCTGCCCCAACCCCTAAAATCAGCGACCTGTTATAATCATCTGATAACTATAGGGTCCTGCTTCCACGGGCTGGGAAACTACAATCCCTGCTTACCTAAGTCAAGTCCCAAAATTTTCAAGAACTCCTTGAGCCGCAAATTCCAAACTCCCCCAACTCCCTAAACCCTTAAACTCTGAAATCTAGGGTTTAGGGTTTAGGGTCCCTAAACCCTGAACCCTTAAACCCCGAACCCCTTAACCCTTAAACCCTGAGACCCGAAACCCCAAACGCCTGGGCCTGCCAACTCATTGTGAGGGCTTCTGGGCCTCCGCCTTGACACACAAAAGAGTGTAAGGATCCCCAAGCTTACTGGGAGTTAGTAGGGAATACGGGAATCCACATATGTATGCACATATACATACACATATACACGCATATGTATATATATATATGTGTGTATATATCTCTACATATATATATATAGGATTTAGGGTTCAGGGTTAGGGCATGAGGGAATACATATATACATATATATATATATTCGTATATTTATATATGTAGCTCAGGGGATAGGCTTTAAGGCCTGTAGGGAATAAGGAAATATCAATAATCCCTACCAAATTATGAGATAATCCCTGAATTACTCCCTGACCACCAGTACGCAAATTTCATAAGCTTTACTAGCTCCCTGTATCAGGGCTCTTGGTATAAGGGGGTTAGCCAGAGATCCTACTTCCGAGAAACTCCCGCGCTTTTTCGAGAACTTTCATGATTAATGCCTGCAACAACTCAGTTGACTGCCCAGGCTGGGATGAGCTTTCGTTTTAGCTCGGGATCCATCAAAGCCTCAGATCGCTCACACAACGCGGTCAAGGGCTTAGGGTTTTGGAGCACAAGACTGTTGATACTGTTGATCAAGGGCTCCGGGGCTTTACCCCTAAGGTCGAATCCCTAAAAGGTTCCCCCCAACAAAGCCCCTTTATAGCTCGATATGAACCACTGTAGCCCCCTAGGATTTCTGAAAAACAATGCCAAAACCCGTGCTTGCAACCCTATAGCCCTAGGACCCAATCCGTATAAACCCCTATATTCTAATATTGGGATAATACAGGGTACTATAGGGTTATTATATAGGGGTAATGGAAAAGAAAATGGAAACTACTATATTATGATATGCTTAATAATCCCCAGTTTCCATTTCATTTTCCATTGGTTCTCCATTGTTTTGGTACTGTCCCTACAACCCTTTTCTTGCACCTGGGCCACCGTAAGGCCTGGACCCTAAGCCCCATGTACTTCCTACAGAGCCCTATATAGCCCCATATTATCCCTTCCCTGATCTGGGTAGGATGCAAGTTCCTCCTTCGAGAACGCAAACAACTGCTCCGGCAAGGGCTTGGTGCCTCAGCAGGCCAGGTCTCGCTTTTCCGGTTGTGTTTCGGGGCAAAATCGCTCGCCTCAATAACAACCCCCCCAAACCCCCTGCCCCCCGGCAACTAACGTCGTATTTACCAGGGGGACAACTTGTATCGGGAGGGCTTTGTCATGAAGAGGAAGGAACAGTTTTGGGGAGTTTGAGCGTTCTCCCCGTTGCGTGGCCGAGGCATTACAAGGCAAGTTTAAGGATTAAGGAGTTTGGGGCTACATTACTTGAAGTTTCATGGGACTTCGTAGCTAATGATAACTTGGCTCGAATTTTATAATCCTCGTAACTGGACATGTGTAGGGTAACCCCATGGCTATGAAGCCGGCTATGAGTAGTTCAAGGTCCTATAAACCTTCAGGTAAAATAACCAACACTGTATATGTGTATGTGAGAGGCACCTCTGGGGTCTATTTGACCAAGCTATTTTCTCTTTAAAATATAAATTCATTAAATAAATCGAATTAATCAAATTAATCAAATTAATCAATTAATTAGATTAATTAGATTAATTTGGTTCACGCC